GAGGACTTGGGGAATGTTGAGCGGGATGGAGCTAATCTCACTTGTTGGGGGAGAAGATTCCACAAGGTGGGCATCACGGCAGAGAAGGCCTGCCTCCTGGAACATGCCAAAATGCTCCCCATGGTGATTGCAGAAATTCCTGACATGAAATGTTCTCTTGGTGGGAAAAACTGCCTTTGGATCCCCCAGACTGGCCTCCATGAGCTCCATCAGGTACACCAGCCTTTGAGCTGATACAGCTAATTCCTTGGTCAATGCATGGCTCTGCCCCTTAAACAACCTCTCCAAACACCCTCCAACTTTCACACTTGCTGGTAGATCTAAGGATGAAGCAATGCATCAACCTGGTTACTTCTTACTGGATTACAGGATTCCTTGTTAAATCTAGGATTTGATTTCAGAGCTGAATGGATCTTACACTAATTACTTTTATTGTTTTTTTAAGTAGAAATGTAGGACAGAAATAGTCAAGCCTGTAAATAGAAGATCATGGAGACAAGACAGTTCATACCAAATAACTAAACAACCTAGAGGAGGCTGAAAGGGCTGGAGTCTTAATGGCCTGGGCAAGTTGCTTGGAGTAATCCTTTTTAAAAGAATACCTTTACACAACTGGTGATCATCAAAGTCTGCATAGGCCTCCTAGTTTGATTGAGTATATTGCTCAGTACAGCAATAAGATTAATAGATATCCATAGGATTATCTATGTGGGTTATGTGGCCAGAATGTTGGTCTTGACAAAGGAATATTAAGTACCTGAATTTTTAAGTGATTGTGGATGCTGACTGTTATAAACCTCATAAGGGTTCAGTAATATTCTCCCAAAGGAAATCAAACCCAGTTACTTATGATCTGCACTCTGAGATTCACTATAAACAACAGTTGCAACTGTTCCAAGTGATTGAGCCCTCCAACTTCATAGATTGAATGTGAGATTGAGAGGCAGTGTTAAGAAGGGAGTATCAGGCAAGGACCATTTCAGATTGTCACAGTCCTACAGCTTATTCAGTGGACTTATTCAGCAAGCATTATCTTTATTTCTAAGCTGCTTTGTAGGATAAAATAGGTAAAGAGAGAAAACTATATATGATGCTATGGATCCTTTGGAGAAAAGGCAAGTAAGATGCAAGTGTAATCATTAAACGCTACTTATTTACTCTCACTGTCTGCATCTTGGTAAGCCATTTTTCCCTTCCTTTGTGTTCCCCAGATGTATTGGAATATAACTTCCTTCATCCCCTGTTAGACAGGTCTGGTAACAGTTACAGTCTACCACATCTGAAGGACATGCAGTTGGAGACAGCTGCAGTCAACTTTGGAGTTCCCAGAAGCATCATTAGGGGATGCGCCAACTTCCATTGCATTTTATCCTAGCTAGTTAGCCACCACTGAGCTGTCTTGGCAATGCCTACCTGCTGTCACAACATGTTCCATGCTGGGAAATCGCTTGAAGACTGCAGTGCTGACTGAGCGCAAGATCAGCACACTCAGTAGATTGATGTAGCGCATCAGCGTGCGCCGCAGAAGACGCCCATACTCATCCTTCCCATCCACACCACTTGAAACCAGATTCATAATGCGGTCAGGCCATGGGATGCTCTCGTACTGTCCCCACCAGCGAGACACTACTAAGGTTACATAAAAGCCTAGAAAGAAAAGAGGACAGTGAGGCACAACTCAAGGTCAATCAGTTATCTGTGAACAGAATCCAACTTTTTATATTTAATTGTCCAAGAATACATGTGCTCTTCTAACAAATTTCAGGCTTTGATGAAAGCCCCAACTTGGTTTTCAGAATATGTAATAATAATCAAAATTATTACCACAAAGATTTTGTGCTGGGAGAAATAGCTGCCTGAATGGTAGAATGGTGTCACTAATGTTTTGATTAAGCTCTTGCTGAGAAGCATTGCACATTTTTCAACATTTTGATCACTTGGAGATAAAAATATTGGTCAAAAATAAAGAAGCACTGCAAAATTGTCTTGCAGTAACATTCTGCAATAGGAGAAAGGTTTGTAAATCATTATACATGCTATAAATTAAAAATAACAATAATACTTAGTATTATTTATTTATTAAACCAATTTATATAGCTGCTCATCTCACCACAGGTGACTCTGGGTGGTGTACAACAAAGCTACAAACAGTCAATAAATACATTAAAAATATAATTCATCATTCATCATCTTCCCCCAGCCTCCCTAGTTCTTGTGATCTTTTTAAAAGGAGCAATAAAAACCGGGGGGCTACACTAAGTAGGAAGCAAAAAAAAAAAAATCTGAAAAAAGAAAACAGTAACCTGCTTCCATAATGTTACCAATAAAAAAAAATAAGGGATCTGTTCCTGAAGTCAGCAGGAGTTGAACTCAACACAAATGAGACTTTATCTTTTAATCTCTATTTTGCCTCTGGTGAGAATGAAATGAGTTAAACCCACTGGAGAGAATGGATTATAAATAAAATTAGAGGCAGCCAGTTCAGGTGGACTTTGGTTTAATGGTTTTCATTAAACACTAATTAATTAATACTTATTTCATTTTTAAAAGATCACATAAAGGACTAGAAACACCATTTGGATTTTCTGTCCTAAGCACTAAGGTTTGAGCTAGTGCTTGTTGTAAATGAGTCAATTAACTAACATATAAATAGAGACTTCACCATTCACACCACTTGTCTCACATTTCTGCAACCTTACCTAATACAAAAGACACCGGTATCAGTTCAGCATAGCTATTGCAGTAGAGGGCCAGTTTTTCAAACATCAGCCTTTGACTTTCATTCAGAATTAACCTGCAAACATATTGGGATATGTCTCAAAACAACAAAAACATTTCTTAGTGGTGGGCACAAAGAAAATATTAATTGGCATACTAATATAGCCAGAGGTGCATTCCTGTACCTGGTTTGACTATTGTTAGTGCAGTTTTGCAAAATTACAGTTGTTTTTATTTGTTCCACACAGGCTAGATGTCTTAATGCAGTACTTCTGCTGTAAGAAAGTACCAGTTTTTCTTGACCACTCAAAAGACTGTTCTTTAAACCTGGGAAATATGTAACCTTTACTGCAGATAGCAATTCCTTTATTGTTTATTACGGGAATGTTGGCAATTATGAACCACTATTGGTTAGATCTTTTGTATCAGATCGGAGACCCTGTTTTTATCTTTCATCAACTGGCTATTTTGATTCTCTTCAAAGAAAATTGGTAATTTGTGTGTATATATGCATGTATGGTAACAATGAATTGCAATTTCCATAGTAGACTATAGAGCAGTCTTCTTTCATCTGGGCACTTTCAGTTCCCAGAATGTTCAGCAATGGCCACACTCTGTGGGAATTCTGGGAGCTGAAGTCCACATCTAAAGGGTGCCCAGGGTGGGGAAGCCCTTTACAGAGAGAAATTAGGTTGTGTGAATATTTTTAACTGGTGCTTTTAGGCTCAGATGGTCAGAGAGAGGGGAAAAAAATAAAAAAATAAAATAAGCATTTATCTTTTTTGACATGCTGGGGTAGGGGGAAGAGAAAGAATTTTCAATCTAGAAATTTCAATTTACCATCATTATTTTGCAATTGTATTGTTTCAAGTTCTTAGTCTCTATTACAGTATATTTTGAACACTTTTTATGGAAATGAAAGAGGCTAAAGAAACAGCGGGAAAGCAGAAATAAGGAATGGGAGATGGCATCCTATGAATTGCCCCTCAGAAGGAAAATCTTACTAATGCAATTTATCTGTTGAGAAGTGGGTGGAGAGCAGAAAGGAGAGTGGGAAACAATTTTTGAGAGGCATTGGTTCTCTACACACCTTCAGAAGATACAGAAGTAACAGCCAGATTAAGAGGGACAAAGCTATCCTCCTCCTCTCTTTCACAAGGAAAACTATCCAGGTTTGGGGAACTTTAAATGCTCACCTGTAGATGAGGCTGATGCCAAAGTAAAATGAGACGAAGATTAAGAACTCACAATAGAGGAGCTTGTAGATGCTGCCTTTCCATTGAAGCAGAAGCTGTGAGAAGGTGCCGAGGCGGGCATCAGCCACACGGTATGTATATGTCACTGTCATCACAGGGCCTGCTAGAAACAAACAGTAGCATGGCAAGAATTAGACAAGAGGAAAGATCCATAGAAAGGCCACACCAAAAAAAATAAAAAAATAAAAAATCATGACAAGCTGGAGAATGGAACAAACAGGGTCCATCATGGATAAACATATCTCCAAGGACACGAACTCAAATAGTGGTAAATGCACACTTTGGGCTAAGTCAAGCTCAACTCTTCCTGATATACAGTACATGCATTGTGGAAATCTTATATCCAGCATACCCAGCATGGGCAGCCATAATCTTGGTCTAACTTTATACAGCTCCCGACCTAATTCCAAAAGTCATCTGTAAGTGATTGGGCAAGGGTTCTAGTAAGAGTAAACCAGCAAATTGCTGGACAAGAAGATGAGGGGAAAAGAGAAGGGGGCAGGAGGGGGAAAAGAGAGAGAATAGCTGTATATCTCTCTGATATTGGAAAGTACATTGCAGAAAATGGAAAGAAAATATTGTGATAAAGGCACATAAACAGCATTTTAAAGCAACCACCAGCCAATCTACCCACCAGCTCATGGTGTCTTTATGCTGTTTCAGAGACCCAAAACTGCTCAGAATTGCACAGAGAGAGCACACAAACATGAAAACAGACTGCCAAAAGATTTATTTGCAGACAAGGAAGGAACTTAAGAATAATTCTGAGGACAAGTGTAGTAAAAAAAAAAGGGGGGGGTAACATTATAGAGAGGCTTCTCCATGTAGCTTTCTCCTAAATTGGGGCAAAATTGAAGCATGGAAATCAAAACAAGGCAATGCAGGAAAAGTCATTTATTAGGCAGTACCATAACTCTGGTTTGAATTGCTGCCCAGGAGAGTTTACAGATTTAAAAGGAAGATTAAAGCATGTTGATCCTCCAAAGGGCCTTTTCCACATCGCCCCAAGGAATCAGCAACACTCCTTTGAAGTACTGTTCTTGGCTAATGATGACTGGAAGGGGTGAATCTGTACACACTGCAATGCAGAGTGCAGAAATAAAATAAAGTATGAGATGGGAGAGACTTTCTACATCTCGTGTCCTTGTCCTGCAGAGACACACAAGGGAGGAAGAACTAAGATAGAACAAAATGGAATGCAATCTTTGACATCATTTTTTTCTCCTGATGGTGTAAGTGTCATAATTTTTCATTGAGACAGTTCTCCTGGCTCAGCCGCATCATGCCTGGAGTTGCTCAACATGATGGATTAGATGCTTTTCATAACGTTCTAGTGTTTATATTGTGTTTCTGCCTAAGTTCTGCTGGAGGTATATGATGACCAAAAATGAAAACTGAAATATTGAATATTATATATAAATGGGGAAAAACTGAAGCAAGTAGATGAATTTGTATACCTTGGTAGAATGTTTACTAAAGATCAGAAAATGTGTTTACTTATTAATAACATTTACAGATTGCTTGAATTTGAAAAGACTCTTGGATAGAAAATTGTAAGTGCAAATGCCGATGGAAAAATAGTGGGTAGTATGTGATCTGCTGTTGTGAGGAATACATGTTTGTCAAAAGAAATGAAATGGTTGTTTATGGAAGTGCTTTTGCCCATTGTTATCTGAAAGCAAAAGTGGGGTATGTCAGGAGAAACATATAAGTGAGTTGAATGCAGTGGGAATGGGGTATGTAAGAAGTGGTAAAACAAGAAGAGATAGTGTCAAAAATGAATGGGTGCTGAATAGAAAGGTGAGTGGTTTGGGCATATATGGAGAAGGAACAAGGATCAAATTTCATATTAAGGAAGAATCAAAGGGTGAAGAGGAAGGAGAAGACTTATTAAGTTGTCAGATGGAGTTGATGAGCTCCTGAAAAAAAGAAGCCCAAAGTTTAAAGAAGAAAAGGCAATGTATGAATCAGTGTATGAGCGTGGTGTAAGGGGGAAGAATGGCCTTGAAGATAAAAAGGTATGGAGAAGTATAATGAATGGCTTTTTAAAAATAATCTTTATTAAAGATGCTCACATAAGTAAAAGAGAAACATGAAATTATATAGAGTGAAATTAAGAAAGAAAGAGATAAAAGATAAAAGAAGAAGTAGAAAAGACAGTGCAGGTAGAAAAAAGGAAAAAGAAAAGATAAAGAAATGACTTCCAATCTTCTTTACAGCAGTTACAAACAAATCTTTCCTCCCTCTTTAAAGTTACAACATGGTTCTCTTCTTCTCATATTCAACCCTTTTTAATCAGCAAATCCATAAATCACCAATTCATTTCTTTTCCCTTTTCAGCAAAAAGTCCATAAAAGGTTTCCAGGAGAAGTATAATGAATGATTTGATGCAAACCAAATTTATTTGTATTTTCTTCTGTTTCTTATCTCATGCTTTAGCCTCTTTGGCTTACTATTTCTTGCTCTTGTTTTGCACTTTGCCTATCACTGCTTACCCTGAAAGGGAATAGTGTAATGGGCATCTGTGTTATAAATAGAAATGCATTGTTAGAACCTTTCAGGTACACAATACTACTCAGCCCTTAAATGTTGGGGGGTTCTCTCCTTATCATATAGCAGGTAGCTTGGCAGGTATCTCTCTCTTTCTCTTGGCAGTATTATTTGGTGGGGAATTAATGTGTACGTTACATCTTTACTGCCTTTCTGTACTTTGAGGAGAATATATCAGTGTTACTTCAGCCAGAGTCACAGCATGCATTGAGTCTATAGGGATCTTAATGTAGGGGTATAAATAATAGAGTAACAATAAAAAAAAATAATGCTTTTCATGCAGACACTGGGAACTTGAGGATCATTTGCAGATATCACTGATTTGTGTACTCGTTTTATTACTTCTTTCGTTTTTTCACTGCATTCAGGTAGATTTGCTACCATGAAACGCACATGCAGAATTCTCATTTTTACCAAACATGGAAAACTTCAAGTCATGTCTGTGTAAATAACGCCCATGAATTTTTGCCAGATCGTATTTCTAGGAACAGAGTAGAGAGCAGATTCAAAAGCTATACTGCCTCCTTATGTAATGCAGCAAAGCTACAGAACATCCTTCAGTTTATTGGATGTTCAGGCTGCTAAGAAGGAGGGATAGTCCACTAGCAGATAGGACATCCTTTAACTGGACCTTGCAGAGCTGGCAAGGAGAGACAAAAGATGCTTCTAGACAAGGTTTTTGTTGTTCAGTTGCCCCATTTCATTCATAGAATTTTATAAGGAGAGAGGCAAGCCTCATCTTCCACTGATAATCCTGCTGTTTCCCCACTACTTTCCCCTCCTTTGGTGTTCCTTGGAACAACAACAACAAAAAAAAATCTGTTATGGAAGGAAAGGCTGCATGACCACTTTTTGATAGTAAAAATCCTCCATGGGAAGCACCTTTGATTATCAGTGCACACCTTTTCTGTGGGCCAGTTCTATAGCCCAAGATCTCGTTCTTCCAACACATACACATTGGGACAAAGACAGCTGATGAGGGAATGATTATAATATTTTCTAAAAGTAAAAAGGCAGGCTGCTTGGTTGGTAGATGGATTAATCTTAGGCCACACAGTTCTAGTGATTTCTTTTGCAAGACTCCCCCCTGGCAAATTCCTCATAAATGTAAGGAGTAACCAATTCTATAAATTCTCTCATAAAGGCAGATAATCTAATATATATCTTCAAAAATGAAAGTTTCACTTCAAAAATCAAACAACAAAAATTCATCTTCTTTTAAATTCATTTTCCTTTTTTCTTATAAGGGTGCAGTCTACATTGGCATTCCTAAATACAGCCAGTGTGGTTAAAGACAGATTTTCCTACTGCATGGAATGGTGACAGCAATCTATAAAGCATATTATGCTATATATACACTGATAAGATGTTCTTTTTCCCCAGATTTGGCAATCTGGAACAAAGAGCCATGATCCCAAGCAGAAGCCATTATATTCAAAATGTTTTATAGATCTTAGAGAACACAAGCCAATTGTAGCTTAAAAATGATTATTTAGGTGCAAAAGGCAGCAGCTCCCAAACATTCCAAAATAATCTTTAATTTAATTAATTCAGTGTAAATGTTCAGTAAGAATATTTACATTTTGAAGAACTCTAATAAAAGATTGAAAATGCCAATGATTCATCAAAGAAAACAAAACAACACACTAGATTCTCAGTAGGGTGACCAGGTACCTAAAAATGATCCACTTTATACTTGGCTGCAGGATGGATATGAGTGTGACAGGTACAGCTTTACCAGTGTAAGCAAGAAAAGCTAGACTTACTGAAGCTCCCATCCCTCTTGTGGATCCTGGAAAAATGCAGGATCTGCTCTGTCCTTCCTCTCCTCTGTTCATTTCAAATTATTCATTTTTAAGTCATGCATCTCATAATGATTTGATGAACACAGAGAATTGGTACTCACCTCCACTGTCACAGATACATTTGTCCAAGTAAAAAAGACAGAAACATAAAGCAGGTCCTCCACATACAATAACAACAGAGGAGCTACTTACAATAGGTTCTGTCCCCGTCCCTCAGAGTTGAGAAGATGGGCCTGGTGTGGATTCCAGCAAGGTTCCTTTGCAGCACACTCAGTGCTCCACCTCTTCTCACCTCTATGGCGTGTGGCTGATTGAACCTGACAGTGACCTGGTGCTCTAAGAAGCCTAAAACCCACTTGGGAGCCACAGCTGGTCACTTGATGTCTTAATCCCACTCCCATTACAAAAGGCACTGTGTGGACTTTTGCTGTGCTCTTTCCTAATCTTCTGAGTAAGCCTTGTGTGTTTAGAGAGGCAGCAGCCTGGGAGAGGGGAAACAGGGGGTGGCCCTTCAGCTGTGGCTGTTCCTGCTGGCTGACTCCTGGCACAGCCGTGGCCTCCGCAAGAAGAAAGGCATTTATCACACTAATTCTTTCCTGTTTGGATCTTTCTGAAATGTCATAGTTTTTAAGAAACCCCAGGATTAAGTGGGGCTGGAATTTTCCACAAAGTTTATAAGGGGGTTGTCATATTGGATGGAGCTCAACCCACACAGGCGCAAACTACGTCTTGCTGTGAGCTGGGACATTGCGGCCTCCAAGTTCTTGAACCCAGGTTTGATTTCCAAGTGCGTGTTGATCTTGATGTGCTATCACATCACTTCATCAATTAACATGTTCTACATGCAAGGAGGGCTCTGCCTAATCATAGAACTGTAGCATTGGAAAGGACCCCGAGAAGTTATCTAGTCAAATTCTGCTGTTCCAAGCAGGTTCTGCTGTGTAGATTTAACTCTGACAGTTGTTCATAAACTCTTTCTTCACTACCTTCTGCAAAGAAGAGACTACCATGGCAGGTTGTTCAACTATCAAACCCTTACAGTACTTTTTGGAAGTTTCTTTTAATATTTCCGTACAATTTCCAACCATTTCTTCCTGTTCGGATAGAGGCTATATCTCCTTCATCTTGTGTTTGACAAGGTGACATGGAAGTTCTGTTTGAGGCATAAGTTCTGTGAATGTTTTACAGATGGATGGATCTACACACGTACTGTCACTGTGACTATCAAACTTATAGAACACATGACATGTAGTCCACCGTTCTTGATACTCTTTCCCTTTAAAAATGGTATTCTTTATACTGGCTAAAGAACAGTCATGACTTCTGGGTGCTGCAACATGCAATGCGTTTCAAAGTTGCAGTACTATCAGTTCAGTTGCGGACATAGCACTGACATAAAGAAAAAGGTAATTTTCTATCAATATCTTGAAATTAAGTCATTATAAAATTGATTAGACTGGATTTTCTGATCAGATCAAATTGAGAAATTCATTAGAAATGGCAAAGAGGGGAAGGGGTAATCTGTGCTTCTTCTAAGGGATTACTGGGTAGGAAAAAAGTTTTTTTCCTCCTCTATATCAAGGGCACACAAATTAAGGAGCTATGTTTTGAACCTGTTCATATTTGCCAAAAGAAAATGGAGTGAAAACAAACAAATACAGAAACAACTGGAATATGTAACTCCAAACATGTGGCCTTTCCAACATTTACTTTTCTTACACTTATGTAGTCTGTGTCTGATATTTTCTCAAACCCATGGATGCCACCAAATTTGCTGATGTTCCTTATTTCTCTGTGTTCCCATTCTGGATGCACAGAAATCACCTCCTAGCACCTGAAAGTAGTATGAGGGAGTGCTGATTATATTAGTATTCCATCTCCAAGCTAGGTTTTAATTTAAATATATTAGGCATGAAGATAATGATAATTAAAGACAGTATCCTATGTGTAAGGTAAATTTGGTCTAAACAGAGACCATGGCATTGAATGAACCACCTGGCCATGAGCTGAAGCAGATGAAGGACCAAAACTGTCACAGTGATGATCTATTAGTATTTGCAAAAACAGAGCTCATCCTCTGTCTTTCTGCTTCACTTCAGTCTAACTTTAACATAACTAACCTTTCCTAATGAGCTATCTTTTTGCTATTCATTAGAACTAGACACAGATTATTTGGGAATTCTTAACCAAATTTGTGGACAAAGATGTGATCAGTACACAGATTATAAATATATGGGGTAATTTGTGCTTTTCCACTAGTCTACAAGTAATATATATTGCAGATTTCACTGGAGAATCAACAACTATTAATGCTAGGAGTCACATTTCTGGAAGCTGCCCAATGATATAGAGAGAAAGAGCCGGAGAAAAGGAAGTTGTGATTAGTCCTATTTCAGATTTGAAAGAATGAGCGAGGTGCATTCTGTGTACACAGCTCAGCTCCATCTCGTGGGGGGTTGTGGAGCTGCTTCTGTCAGCAACTTAAAGATGGACTACACACAGGAATTCTCTGTCCTATCCACCTGTGTAAAAAGAAAGGCTGCACCAATCCCATATAAAACATTTGATATGCTTTTTCCTAGATTAGGAAAGGTTACCTCCATTCAGACGTATGCGATATTGAAAGTATGCTTCTAGACAATCAGAAAGATAAAGAAATATTAGAGGCATTTATCTTCCAAAGAGGATGCATGGAAATTTAGAAATTAAAAATACATGCAAATACAATGGGCATCCCCCCCGCCCCGTATTGCCTCATGATAAACTCCTGTAGACCAATTTGGGGGGGGGGGCGTCTGGAGTGAAGACAACTATCAAATACTGGGAATGGAGACAGGAAGAAATAGTTTGAAGAATGTATTTGTCCAAATTTGGCAACCTTAATCTTAGCTGAATTTCTTCAGTTCAGATTGGGTTGTTTTTAAATCTTTTCCTATATGTTTGCAACTTTCCCCTTTACTGTTGATATGTCACTTTGTGTGGACAACTGTCTGAAAAGCAGGATATACATGTGCTGAATAAATGAATAGCACAATATCATTATTTAGGAATATATGTGTAGAAAATGGTTTACACATTAACTGGCTGTCAGTTTGAAAGCATTTTTTAAAAATCCATAGAGTAAAGGGGGGTGAGAATCTCCCAGGTTAAATATAGCCTACATGAGAGCCATTACACACAAGTATAACATTTCTTGACATTCTTGATTATATTTTTAATCACTCAGTGATTAATTACAGTGACTATATGTCCTTTATTATAAAGGACAGTCCTTTATTTCAGAAAGCTGTCTATATATTTATTTAATTTAATTATTTATTTTCTTGCCTTTGCTCTTGAATCTTCCTTTGTGAAGCAAAGTCATCGGCATAAACAGTTTTTTATCCTCATGAACCTCTTTCAGATTTGCCCTTTTTTCAGGTTTGTCTTTTATTTTTTCCAAGAAAATATGGTCACTGTACAGCAGCCATAATAGAACACAGTGGTTTTCAGTGCAGTAAAGTATTCAAAATATTTATAGTCCTCCTTTGCAGTTAGATGTTCAAGCCGCTTAAACCACCTAACATTAAAAGACACACAACCGGGCTGCAAAAAACATGCTAGCAAGCTGAGCAAACGAGGAGCAGAACAGTCAGCAAGCAAACAGAGAACTGTAAAGAAAGAAATATTCACCAGATTACTACCAAAATTAGTAATGAACATGCAACTAGTGAGCAAATATTATCAGAGAAGCAACGGATCTCCTGTGGGAGCAAAGATATCAAGGGAGACCTGAGGGACTGAGACTTTGGTGGAAGCCTGTGAGCTGATAAAACCTTCAGGGTTTCCAGAGCCCTGAAAGGGACAGACCTATTATTTGCTTATTTATCATATTTAGATCATGTTTATGATTATTTATATTTATGTATTATTTATATGTATTTATTTATATCATATTAATGATTATTCTTACGGTATTAGTACATATTTTCCTTTGTACCTTTGTGTTTTGTGTTGCTGTCTTTGTTCAAGCCATTTTCCAGGTCATACTTCAAAATATGCCTCAGCCGAACAAAAATGGCCTCTAGGAGTGTGTGGGTCCAATACTAGTGTAAGGAGTGTAATGCCTGTTGTTGTGAGGCTGTCACACAGGTGTGGAGATAGGGCCCTTGACAGATTCCCAGAAACACACTGACTCTCACAATGCGCTTGAAGCAGTTTGGACTTTTTTTTAATACTCTGTAGCTGAACTACATATATTTGCCTATGTCTTGGCTCAAAATCTCTGTTTCCTTTCATACTTTTTTTGATTTGGGAGCAAGGGACTGAGCTACCCAAATCAGCGTTTCTCAAACTTGGCCTCTTTAAGTTGTGTGGACTTCAACTCCCAGAATTCCCCAGCCAGCATGCTGTCCACACATCTTAAAGTTGCCAAGTTTGAAAAACACTGACATAAATAATGGTGGTCCTAGTGAACACTGGGGAATCCTCTGCTCAAAGGTGGCCGAAAAAAGCCCCCGGGGTTTGGTTGCCTATTCATACTCTAAGGCTACTGTTCAGAATGCAAAATCACCAAACTTTACTCCATGCAGGAAATTCCTTCTTTCCTCTCCATTCCATGTTTTAAATGTGAAAAGGCGAAGCTTTACCACAAGGGGGCTCCAAAGGCTGAGCATAAACAGCTTCAGAAAAGAATATTATGGGGGGAGAGTGGGGAGTCCTTGCGTACCTGCTTAATCCAGCACTAGGGTTAGCAGAGCCTGTGATGCAGCACTGTCTTCAGAACAAGCGCTATTCTGATGATCACCAACTCAGATGGCTTTAAGACGTTTTCAAATCAATTATATAGATTAGCAGGGGAGCAAAGGTGGGAGGGTGCTGTTGCACTGACTCAGCAGAGGTCTTCTTAGAGGCCTCCTGCACCCAGAGACCAGCATAGGTTTCAGCCTAACTAATGAGGTGCCAAGATGAAAGAGGAGATGTTTCATTACAGCTGCAGGTTTTTGCTCTTTTGCTGGTGCAGAAATGTAGAGAAGAAAACCACCTTCCTTGCATTTTCTTCCTGCTTTGTTGGACTTTTACCTCCGAAAGGACTTGGTCTACATAAGAGGCCTTTCTGAATAAGAAATAAGCAAATAACTAGGGTACCATTAACAGGCCACAACGCCTAAGGATCTTCCTTCTTTCACTTGTTCAGTATACCATTTTTTGAATATGTAAAATCTGTCTGCTATGTTTGGCCCCAGTAGTGATGCAGAGGGAGCATGCCAAATAGTGGATTCAATGTACAATTTTTAAATAAAAAGATTTGAGCTCAAGTCAAACTCAATCCCTGCTCTTGTTTTCTTGGCAATAAACAGAGAAGTGGCTTGCCTTTGCTTTCTTTCAGGATAATTTTTTCTTTCAGGATAATTTTTCAACGTCCCAGAGTAGTC